CACTGGCCATTTCTGGCTGAATCAATAGCAGGAGCTTTACACCAGCACAGCTGCTCACTGTAAGCACTTACTCTCATCAATGCTGAAGGGATCGGCACACACACACCAGGACAATCCAGAGATCAACACACTCACAACTCTCTCTGGTGGTGTGTTGAAACTGGCGGTTATGGTAAGGGGCGGGACATTTCCCAAACACGCTCAAAGCTCTTGACCAATCACAACACACTGATCCAGCCGACCGATCAGAGCACAGTGTGCTTCTCAGAAGGAGGGGCTTCATAGAGACAGGAACTAAACAGGGGTGCGTTTCCCGAAAGCATCGTTAGCCAACTATGGTCGCAAGTTCCGTCGTTACCAATAGAGTTCAATGGGATTTGCGACCATAGTTGGGTAACGATGCTTTCAGGAAACGCACCCCTGAGCGTTACTGACAGACTGGGAAGAGAGGAGCTGCAACAATGGAGAATATTGGGAAAATATAATCTTTTTTCCACATTTAAGCATGAAAACCTGTTCTAGTAGAGCCCAGAAACAAAATCAAGACTTTGTAAAAGGGCATAATATCTCTTTAAATAAACCACAAATAATGTAATAGGGGGAAAATGTTGAGGCCGATTCGTTCAGTCTGTTCCACATTATTACTGTATCTATTCAACAAACGGGTGGACTGGAGACGTCTGAAAAAAAGACCTGCAAAGCCCCAGAGGTCTGGAAGCAGTCTAGGGTTGAGTGTCTTTCCACGGATACATAAGTGACAGACGGGGAAGAGATGTATCAAACGGACACATGGGGAATTACACAACAATCTCTCAGGCGGTGGGCCGCTCTGGCAAAGCTGTTCCCGCCCTGCAGTTTCAGGCCCCTGGGGAGTCCCACAAGAGCGCTCGCTCGCCTCCTTATTACTTCAAATACATACGAGAGCAGCTTGATTTTATAAGCACACTTTAACTGCATGAGTTTGGCTCGCGTCGTGTCTGAGCGAGCTTCAGTTGTTTGTCATAAACAAGACCAAGAGTCTTAACCTCTCCAGCTCATGCAGTCTGACCTTAATTCTCGAGACCAGGACAGCAATCCGCTGCTTTGGCTCAAATTTCAGGCAGAATGTCAATTTATCCTTTATTTCTGTTGAGTCATGCATTCCGCCTCTGCTACTGCTGGCATTAAAGGGAGAGTTCATGCAAAATTTAAATTCTGTCGAAAAAGACAAAGTACCAGCTTAAATATCGTCCACTGTAATATTTTATCCCAATGGCAAAAGAAAAACAATACAAGTAATAAACACTTTAAAATAAGTGTTCTCTTTCATTCACATTAGTTATGCATTACTATCAAAGAGCAATTTATTTTTTACAGCACTAATAAAAATATAAATCAACTTTGTTAATGGTGTTGGTAAATAAAAATGTTAGTTCACGATGCATTAATTAATGTTAATGGATACAACTTTTGATTTTAGTAAATGTTGAGATTAACATTAACTAAGTTTAATATTAATATAATAATTGATATTAGATTAGTATTGTTCATTGTTAGTTCTAATGTAGTTATCTAATGCTAACCAATGAAACCTTGTTGTAAATGATTTACCCATTTAAATATAAAATAAACATGTATTAACATAAAATTATTTTTTAAAATTTTTTTTTAAATATAATATAGTAAATATTATCTATATATACATATATATATATATAAAACCAAGCCCCATTTTTTAGGATCATTAAGACGTTTTTTTTCATTTTGACATTCAATACATTTTTTCTCATGTTTTCTTTTCTTTTTAAATTAGGATGAAATGTTACCTGGATATGTTCTAGAAGTTTTGGATTTGGCCTCAAAAGATTTCAACTTCTGAAATCTTCTGTAGCCATACAATAATCCAGGGACGTGCAGAGTTCCTCAGGGGCAGGGGCTCAAAAAAAAGGGCATATATATATGTATATACAGTATATATATATATATATATATATATATATATATATATATATCAAGCTTTGCATCACAGAAATAAATTATGTTTTAAAGTATATTAAAATAGAAAACCATTATTTTAAATTGTAATAATTTGTTTCTGTATTTTTGATCAAATAAATGTAGACTTGATGTGCATAAGGGACTTCTTTAAAATAAAATAAAAAAAATAGTAATGTGTGTGCAAATTTTTGACCAGTTGTACTGTAGCTACTATTAGCGTATACTATTGCTGCAAAATTATCAAAAATGTTAAAATAATAAAGTCCTTTCACTCACCATTTCGCGTGTTGTTAGCCTACACTTCACATGGCTGTAGGCCTGGGCTTCATTTAACAAACTATGATAGTTTCATCAAATGGTAAACGGTGTATCAATATCAGACTACAAGTGACTTGAATACTACTTACCATTAATGCTTTAAACCATTTGAAGCTGGTTTTGTGCAGTGCTTTGTAGTCAATTAACATCAATTGTTTCAACGACGCAGATTCAGATCGCTTCATAAATGTAAATTCGTCTGTCCATGTAATTTTCAAACGATGTATGTATAAATGACTAGAAAATTACCGCTCCACGTCACATTGTCCAATGAAATTTGAACTTGTTGTGCCAGATGACGATTGGTCGGTGTATTATACATGACAAACAGGCTTAAATTAATTATGTAATATTTTAAAATATGTGATATGTGGATTTTTAATTGAATCGACACACTATCTTTTATTATTGAAAAAAAAAAAGTTTAAAAATTGTTTTGTTTATTTTTTTCCCTGCCGTCGAGCCATATACTCAGTGAAAGAACCTTGGCTCGAGAGCATCGGTTCTCAAACAGACTGGGGAATACCTACGTTAACACTAGTGTATTTTCATTTTAAAACTCATAACTTTTGCTACGGTTATGCCTTCCGTCCACACACACTACTCCGGAGTTTTAGACCCTCGAAAACGGAGAGTCAAGTCAAAACCAAAGCAAGACACACGCAACGCAACTTGACGCAAGTGACGCAACCCATAGCAACGCGTTAAGGCCAATTTATACTTCTGCGTCGAGTGTACGCCGTAGTGTACGGCGTAGGCTACGCACGTAGGCAACGCCGTCATGAGCATTTATACTTCTGCGTTTAGGTCTGCGTTGCTCTGCAGTACAGCGCCGAAACGCTAGTTGGCGGCGGAGGGTTTTAATGTTCCACTGTGTTTAGATTCCTCGCGGCAAGAAGAAGAAGATTCCTCGCGGCTGTTTTGAGTTTAGGTTACTACAAGCAATGCCGACTGAAAGAGAGCAGATCATGTTGGAGTTGGAGCTTATCGAGGTGGAAAAGGTAAATTTTTAGTTTTTTTAACAGTTTCGCTGTACTTAGAATTTAAAAATGGCGGGCGGTGCAGAAGAACACGCCGGAAATGCATAGGAGGAAACGCGATGCTACCAAGCCGACCAATCACAGATCTTGCGGTCCGCGTCGTCGCGACGTGTAGTTACATTTTTGAGGAGGTGCGCGTCAGGTTACGGCGAAGGGTACGGCGTATGGTACGCGTCTGTGCGTATGCTACGCCGTACGTACTGCGCGCACCCGACGCAGAAGTATAAATTGGCCTTTAGTAGCCTAACGACACCTCAGACTGACAGAAACGAAAAAGTAAACGTGAATTTAGGCTACTTTAGTTTTGTACACATTTTAATGTTATAATTAAATGCATTTTGTTTTATTGACCACAATATTCTCTTTGATATTTGTTTGAGAAGGGCACTTTTGATTAATTTTGAAATAGGGCAGAGGCTCGAGCAAAGTGCGCGTGCCTGCAATAATCGTACTTAATTTTCAATTAATCAGAAGTCTTCATCTCAAGTTGAATGTACACAATCTTAAACTGATTTATACTTAAGGACTATTTGTTTCTTTGAGCACAAACTTTTTAATGAGATATAAGTGCACCTTTAGGCTACATTTTGATCTGTCCCTCACACAAAGCTTCCGATAGGCTTCAGAAGACATGGAGGAACATCACTTAAAGATGACGAGTCCCGGTAAACCGGGAGGAATGGATATGTTCCTCGTGAAGAAAAATACAAAAATTAAAACGGGTAACTGTGGGAATCATTTTAAATCTATGTCATGAGTCTTATTCTTTTTTCATCAGAAGTGCCACAGAGTGCATAAGTAATTTGAAGAGCCCGAACACTGATAGAAAAACTCAGAAGGAAAGATCTTTCACAGTCCTCTGAGGAGCCCTTTGAAGCTCTTCAAGAAAAGATAAAAAACCTGCGTCCTGAGATTTGCCAGTATATTAATGAGTTCAGTTGACCGTTTTGGGCAAAGTTTTCATTGTCAGAAAGAGCGGTGAGAGAACAGAAGATGAAATGAGCGATTCCTCTGTATTTATCTTCTCCTGGATGGACCTCTGAGACTGCGTTCTACAAGAGGAAGGTGCACATTTAATAGTCTAATAAGCTCTTCTGCTCCTTCAGCGCTGTACTCTAGACAAACACAGTCTGGAGTGACGATATATGTCTGGTAGAGTCAACATGAAACAACATCCATGGCACATTTTACTTGCATAATGTGACATATTTCTGCATTAAAAAAGGATATTCGATGAGAAATAATGATGGGCTGGATCTAATTTTCTCCACGTTTCCCAATGGCCATGCTATATATTGTTATTTGTTACTATTGCTACAATTTGAGTTGAAACATTCAAATTGAGCATGAATTTAAACTAAAATAAAAAACTGATGAGCAGCACAATATTAGTAGTAACACTTTATGATTAGATTTTTTAACATTAGTTAATGCATTAGTGAACATGACCAATGAGCATTTTTTACAGCATTACATCTTTGTAAATGTTAATGAAAAAATATTCATTGTTTGTTCACGATGCATTTACTAATGTATACGAAATGTATTAGTAAATGTCCAAATTAACATTAGTTCGAAGTATTAATTGTAAGTTAACTAATGTTAACAAACAAAAACTGTATAATAGAGCTAGTTTTTTTTGCATTTAACTTCCTGTGGCAAATATTTAGTTTCATTATAGGTTTAATGTCACTCTGTAACCAAGAATAAATACATAGTAAATCAACACATCTTTATACATTTTGTTAAGGTGCGTCATACGCCATTTCAGATGAAAAGAAACAACAACAGTACATTTAAAAATGCTGAAAAAGGAGGTCATTTAGGTACATGGTACCAAGACATATTCAAAAAGCAGTACGTGACATCAGAAATATTGCATCATTTCTATTAAAAACGCTGATATGCGCGGTGCTCATTTCAGCTCAGAACTATGCTTTGAATAGATCATACATCATTAAAGAATTAAATAAATTCATTTCTCTCTGAAAGTGTTACTCTGAACCCTGTAGAAAAGACATTATTCAAGGCAGTAAAGTGTTCGCACAATTTTTAGTAGCCTGTTACGTTCATGATAGAAACACTTTGGGATTAAAAAGGTTTATGAATGGACAGTTTTGTTTCTTATTTTCCCCCGTCAGTTCATTTTATTTTCACCATCATCAGTCCTCAATGCATCAGTGCCAGTTTTGTCCATACCGATCCATTTCCATTAGAGGACATCTCTTTGCTGGAATTTCAACCTCAATGTTTTAAAAGCTGGCACATTTTCTTTCCAGAAAACAGCATGAAAAGACTGGAACTGGGGTTCGGACCCAGTTGGCTGATATTATCCTGACAACAGCCCAAACACGCATATCGAGACCAGAGCCAGCGGGGCGGTTTGTGTCACTCCACTGCCAGAATTCATCTGATCAAAGTCTTTGGTTTGAGGGTGATGGTATCGGTGATTGTTGGTATTTTCCGGTGTCACTGCAAGAGAAAAGAAAAAGAAATGAAAGTATTTCCACTCGACATAAAACGATCAGATCGGTTTATTCGAAGCGTGTGTTTTCAATGTGATGAGGAATGAGGATAACTAGATCAAGTTCCTACTTATGAGTCGTAACTACTGCTGTCTTCAAGTCGCACATGAAGATATTAATGAAGAACTGTTAAAAATGCTTTTTCACATGTTCGTCTTTGTTTACATTTACATTTATTCATTTAGCTGACGCTTTTATCCAAAGCGACTTACAATTGCTATATATGTCAGAGGTCGCACGCCTCTGGAGCAACTAGGGGTTAATTGTCTTGCTCAGGGACACATTGGTGTCTCACAGTGGATTCGAACCCGGGTCTCTCACACCAAAGGCATGTGTCTTATCCACTGCGCCATCACCACCCGCATGTTTAGTGTGTAATGTTGCAGTTTGAGTATGAAAAAGTTCTGCAAAGTCACAAAATGTCCCTATATCCGTTTCTGAACTCCCTGACTCCGGATGCTGTCATGTATATAACAAAGTGCACAATGCATAGATTCCCATCGTTCCTGCCAGAGGAGCTTCAAAGCCAAAAACTACATCTATTCCCCAGTAGGATCCTGCTCTCAACAAAAAAAAAAAAGCTCGGAGATATTTCCAACCATTTTGTTTGTACATTGCATGTGTTTTTTTAAACAGTGAATAATCCTTCTTTACAAGAACTGCTCACATTTCTTGGACTGCTTGGGAATATTTATTTTATCTCTGATATGTTTGAATAGGCTTGGCAAACCATAATCCATTAATAACGCAATAGAAGATTTAGATTTTGGGACCATACATAATCAAAGAGCAAACAGAAGATATCGTGAGCGATCTACGTTAGACAGACTTACACAAGGAACACAAGGGTCAGCAAAAGCCATTGACATGATTCCCTCAAGTAGCCACAAATCATGTTTGAGCTTTTGTCAAATAAATCTGTGTGGACTGAAATTAAGCAGGTATCGATTGACTGCTGTGATGTCCCCAGACGGCCATCTTAAGGGCTGATCGGAGACACGCGTGGGATATTTGGCAGCCCGCCGGTCCGATTGAAGACATCGATCCTCAAGCGGCTTCAGAAGCTCAATGAGAAGCGGCAGCATCCGACGAGACACTTGTGAGAGAAAACATGCCAGTGCAAATGCTGTCCATAGCACAGCTCTTCAAAGTCCAGCGCTGCTTTCATAGGTTTGAGAACACACAGAACAAACACAGTTAAACAGTAGGGATGGGCGATATGGACTTAAAAATATATCACGATATTTTCTGGCATTTATTGCGATAACGATATCAATGACGATATAAATACAATACCATATTCAGCACTGTTTTTGGCTACAAGTGATAGCTGCATGCAAAGTAAAATGTAGCCTACACCAAATAGGCTCCTATAAAATACCAATTACCGTACATAAAATAATAATAAAAAAAAACAGTAAAACAGTAAACACCATCCCTTGCAGAAATGGAAAAGTTGCATACTTTCTTCTGTAAAAGTGCAGATAATGTTTAAATAGTGCAACTATACTGAAAAACATCACACAGTAATAATTCAAATCATTTACAAGTTTGAAATATAAAAAATCTAACAACGAATAGTTATACTAATACTACTACGAATTCTGATACTAATAACAATATAAACCACACTAAGGATTGATGAGCTGCTAGGTTCATGAATATCATCACGTCTGCGTTTGCGCATTAGTTTCTGCTTGCTCAAAGCTGAATAATTCCAAATGAACTCCATTATTTTTACAGGAAAATACAACAAATAATATAATTTACATGTAGACGTCATGTACACTTCAATTCTGCGTGGTATGTAAGACTCTCTCTCTCTCATCGAGTGCGTGAGAAACACGGAGCGCTCTCAGCAGTGACAGCACGTCATGCGCCTCAGTGTTTACTGCGCGTCAAATACACTGTGTATTCATTGAGATGAACTGATATAGTGGGCTTTACGGATCACTTGACGGAGAGCGACACTCAAGCGCTCAGTCAGTGTTCGGCGAGATGGGCGGATGAAAATCTGTGTGTACCAGTTCCAGATTGTAGAGGTAGTTACTCGTTTAGCGATAAACTTCACCTCAGCTTCACGTCCGCCTTCCGCCATGCGCGTGAGCTGCGAATGCGTCCCGTCATAGGCTTTATCGTTATTATCGCGGGAAGACTAATTCTTATCGTGAGGAAAAATTTTAACGATATATCGCAAACGATAATATATCGCCCATCCCTATTAAACAGAAGGGGTCGAACGTCTTATCTAAACCGCCGCTGACTCTTATAGATCTTCAAAACATAATGGGAAAGGCAGATACAGGAGATCTTTTAGTAAACCGACCAGGGGATCTGATAAACAATCACCTTACATGCTTACGGTGCGTTTCTGTCACTGTGCACAAAGTTGAATTCTACATCCCGTCAACTCTTATTGACAGTTAAAATGAATGAAATTGTTGCTGCAAATCACTGTCATTGTGAACGTCTTTTTCAAATAAATAAATAAATGAATAAATAAAAAACATATTATAAAATTAAAAAAAAAATACTGTGGCAGAACCATTTAGATTCTGAAGTAGACTTGTAGTCAAGACCGCCTAAACCGAGACCAAGACACTACCAAGACCAGAGGGTATCAAGACCAAGACCAAGACCGAGACCGGATGGGGGGAAAAAAACAGACTAGTGTTGTTGAAGCTAAGCAATAACTTGTAAGATTTTGTTTTGCATTGCCTACCTATCTCTGCCGATTTCAAGTCTCCAAATGAATCCATTCTGCAACTTTTAAATACATAATTATATTTTTAAAAACAAAATTATAAGCTAAAGTCCAGGATCCAAAAGTTGGTTGTTTTGTCGCTATGGTTACACACACACACACACACACACACACCGTTGGCGGTGCGCTCAAAGTCATCTGTCAGTTGTGCAGTTACCCAAAATCTCCTGAATGAAGTTAAAACCCATCATGTCACTGATATGTGTTTTACTAAATATTAATACATCAAAAACTGTACATGAAATGTGTTTTTTAAATCAAGTGATCAAAGTGCTCGTTGCGATCAGTGGCGCGGATTCGGCTCGCCCACCGCACTGTCTTCACTCGGACGCGCGCTTCAATCCGTTGCGGATATCGTCGTGGATATTGATATTGCTAAATCCCCCGACCACTATGTCGGTCTGAGACAACGAGACCTAGACAAGACCGAGAGGTCCGAGACCAAGACAAGACCAAAGACCGTCAAGGCCGTGAGAAGACCGAGACCACGTAAAAGTGGTCTCGAGACATACATCACTATTCTGAAGGGCAGTAAAAAAAAGTACACGTGCACGCACACACACGCACAAATGTGTGATACCAAAGTCCTTTTAGGCAAGTCATGCCACTCGGCCGCCATCTTGGGAACGCCTCCGGACAGCTATTTCGGACTAACAAGACCAGGCTCCTATCTAAATGAATGGGCAGAGAGTCAGAACTGCACTTTCACTGGTCACCGGGACATACAAACTGCTTGTATAGAAACAGCAGAAAAATAAGATAAAAATCGCTGAAAAAGTTTGATGACTTTGCACCAAAATAAGGTTTAAAAGGTATTTTTCCCCACAGGTTATACGTTTACTACACATGCGCAAGGGTTCTCGTCTCCGCTGTCGCAAACCTCAACTGTGCGCATGCGTCAGTGGAACCAGACGATAGGCTTACATGTTTCCCGGCTTGACTGTTAATGACTATTTTAAAAAAAATATTTATAAATTTGTATTTTGTTTTTAAATGTGGTATTTATTTAGAAATGTAAATGTTTATTTAATTAGAATGCTGTATTTATTTATTTATTTTAGTTTGTTTTAGTTTGTATTAACATTTTTGTTAATTGAACAAAAGCTGAAATAACATAAAACATCAATAGATAAAAAAACATAACCAACTGTTGAAGCACTAAAATGATTAACTAGAAAGAAATAAAAACTAAAGCTTAAACTGAAATAAAAACAAATTAAATGTAAATATTAATATTAAAAAAATAACAAAACTAATGTAAAATTACACAGATAGGCCTACTAAAAATTCAACTAATATTAAATTAAAAACTGAAAATATATTAAAAAAGCTACTCTTTTTTAAAAGCTACAACAAAAAAGCGTGAATTATGAATAAAATAAACTTCCCCCTCAACTGAATATGCATTAAATGTGTTGATTTTAACCAAGATTGTGCTGCAAGATGTTGTTTTTGTTCAACCTGTTATAGGCTAACCTGCAATTGTGCAAATTTTTACTTTACTCCATTTAATTCCCTTATATTCCCATATATTCATGTTAATTCCCATGGAAATTTTCCAACATTGAAAATTCCTGGAATTTTGCAACCTTAGTGATATATAAATAATACTAAAATAACACTGTAAAAATACGTGAAAAATAAAGTTAAGTTACCATAAGTGTCTCCACTAAACCTGCTTGAATGCATCATATCGCACGGTTTTCACAGGAGTAATTTAGTTTAGTTCCCGTGTTGTGTTGTGTGCTGAATTTGCTGTCGTTAGCCTAAATTGTTCGTTTACTTCAACTCATAAAATGCATCCCTGTTCTGTTGTCCTGCTATTGGCATGAGCAGATGTCTGTAATTTCCAAGCAGCAGGTCGCAACTAATGTTGTTCTAAGCAAAATGGCCCGTTCTACAGATGGGCTGTAGAATCTGAATACGGTCTTTCTCTAAAGACATCAGCAGCAGCACTTCCCTCAGGCGGGCCGACCGCTGTTGAACTGCATTGGCACGAGTCGGGGAACGGATGAATGATGTGTCCCTTCAATCATCTATCAAACCCTGGAAGTTCAATGATTTTCTTCATATTCATCAGCAAGGTCAGGACTAACTTGCCTACATGGGCTATGTGATTGACAGTGATGTAATGGCCAGACAGAGCAGTATGTGTGTCACGTCTCTCGCCTCTACCTTGCCAG